TGAAAATACCCCAAATTTAAATAAATTTTATGCCTTTTTTGTCAAGAATAAGTTGTATAACTGGAAAAATTCTACAAAACCTTTGCTTGTTTGAGGCCACTCAGTTCTCTCATTAAATTTATGAATAATTTTAATTAAAAGAAACACCAAAGCATTTGTGAAATAGAAGTATGTGTTTGAACCATTAAACCTCCAACATTTGTTCAGGGTATGAATACCTGGTTTAGAAATTAAGAGAATCTTTATAGTGTGTCTCCTCTCCATGGGTGCAAGTGAGACAAATGAAAACCCTATGTTTCTTACAGAAAGCGTGCTAGTTTAGCTCCAAAGAGACTTCTGTATTGGAATAAATATGTTTTTTATCATGAAAGGAGAGCTGATCACTGGTGGCCCGCTGATGTAGTTCTCAGTGTTTGCACTGGAGGTCTCACTGGCGTTTAATAAGTGTGGCCCTCTTGGCTGTCAAGCTTCTGTGCCTGGGTTGTAACCAGCTCAGCCTCTCTCTCCTGCCTACTAGAATTCTTCAGGAAGATACAGCACTTAATGTGGAACATATCCTAAGTCGAGGGATAAGTCCCACCTCTGGAAGATCTCAGGAAGATTTCTGTTTATGTACGCAGTGGTGAGGAGCAGGTTCAGTCCCTGCAGGATGATACTTGGTTAGAGATTTCTTGTGACCTTCCCACAGGTGATGTGGGATTTGCCATTGACTCTGGTTTTTTGGGGTAGTGCTGCTTCCATTATTCTGTATGGTTCTGCAAAGGCTCCTTTTGGGCACAAAATACTGAATTGCTCTGGGTGGTTTGGCTAACCACACACAAAGTATGTGGGCCTTAGCTTCTCCAGAATAGGTATCCAAACTTAGTGGAGAAAGAGGTAAACAGCGTTTCTGTGTGATCTATAGTGTGACAACCTCTGCTGAGTGTGCTCTGTGCAGTTGGCCACGGTTTTTCTGGCTGGTTCTCTGGTAGAGGAGCCCCATGGAGAAACACAATGTGTCCCATAGCATTTTAATATTTTAGAAGTTCTTGATGTTTCTCAAAACCAAAGTTGCAGTCATGAATCTGAAAAGCAGAGATACTTCTTGATATTTTTGCCTTCATATTGACTTATGTAAGTGGATATTGTGAAATAAGTCTGTGTACAGACTCTGAGGGACATCAGAGCTGCTGCAATGAGGAGCACAGGAAATTTACATGTCTGTTTGGAAGTCTGTATTTGACCAGTTTGAGGAAGAAAATGCATGGGCTGAATGCTAGTTAAAGGAGGGTGGGGACAAAACAAAAAACTCCCCATCAAACTACCAAATAGCTTGTTTCTCTACAAGTATACCCATGTATCACACTTCTGTTAAGGGGAGAAAAATAAAAGCTCCTTCCCAATACAGATTTGGTGTCCTGCCCATCTATTTTTGCTTTCTGTGGTCTTGAGCATCCTGTTGGTCTGGTAGCAGCTGCCCTGCAGTGAAGTGGGTTGTTGCTTACTCTGGAGGGAAATGTCTGTGATGTATCTTCTGTAATAAAGCAAAACCTGTTCCCATTTCCTCAGAGATGCTGCAAAATATCTTCCCTTCATAGGAGTAAGTCACATAGGTCTTGCCCTGTTGGAAAGTTACCTATTTCTATTCCCACTAAATTTAAATTAATTTAAACTGGAAATTTAGTTGAATACAACTGACTGATGAACTTCATACTTCACTGAATCTGGACCGATTGACAAAATGAGTTTGGGGTACCTGTTCTGAGATAGCTGAAAAGCTTTGATCATTCCTTCCCAGTTTTCTTCAAATTTCTAAATGTTACGGATATACAAGGAGTTTGTTATTTGCATCTAAACACTTGTGACTTGCATTTTCCATTCATTAACATAAGTAAAAAAATTTTCGTAAGGTATGAATAGAACATATATTTATTTAATTTAGACAGAGTCTACTTACTATCTGATCCTTCAGGTGCTGTGTGCCTCTTTTAATACCATCCATGCCCATTTGTTTCAAGAAGAGCTGTATGATATTTGCACGAGGTCATTGTACTGTGTTTTTATTGTCATGAATTCTCTTTGCATGTCTCATCAAATTATTTTGTTCTCTTTGTAATCTTCCCTTATTCCAAGAAACTCTGGTGGATAATACTCTATCACTGACTTAAAAATTTGTCTTCCTTCCTGGGTAAGAGAAACAGAGAGATAAGACATGACCTTACCTATTGGAGTTTTTCATGTGAGCACAGATAGCTGTTTGCTTTTGGGTTTGGGAGGGCTGAAGCACCATGAGGGCTGGGTGTTAAAAGCCAAGTTAAAAACAGTCAAAAAAGACTGGCTTATGTCTCTTTCCTGTGAAATAGCAAATTGCTTTCTGATTTTTCAGAAACATTTCCTTAAAAATGTCTTTGAGCATTACTGAAGATGAAGTCAGAAAGGTAATTTTAGTTTATTTGAAGCTGCACAAAGATAGAAAAAAAGAAAATGCTTGTGAAGACAAGCTTGGGGTTTTTTCCATTCTTTGCTCTTTGCTAAGCTGATTTAAAATAAAAATTAATTCTGAACCTAAGTTTTTTAAATCAAGTCCAGTAACATTTCTTCCATTTTCAAACCCAGTAAACATGAACTTATCTGAAGCCTGAGTCAGACTAAGTGCTATACTCCGTAGAAGAGTTTAAAACTCAGTCTTGGCACTGATATGTCATTTCAGTTGTTACTTTAAAAAAAAATAGTAATCCCCTAAAGTAAGAAATCATATGATAAGGAAGATTAAAAAAACCCCCCAAAACTGCCCCAGGAGATGGGATTTAAATCCTCTCAAACAATTCTAAGGTTTGAGCTGTGGATAAAGGCACAAATTACTCCATTCTTCACGAGATGCTCTGTTTAATATAATACAACCCATGAGATTAGGACACATTGCTAGCAGTCACATGATGCTGGCTAGACAACATTTGAAAAAACATTATCCAATGTGGTGTGGTTCCTGGGGTATTCCTGCAGAGAGCTCCCAAGTGCCCAGGAAGGCTTCTGCTCACTGGAGGGAGCAGCAGCACTGGAGGCCAAAACGGTGCCTGGCTCCTTTCTGGTTTTTCTTGCCTTGGCAGCTGCTGTTTGCACAGCAGTTAATACAGAATAAATGAAATTTGAAAGTACGCATTTCTTGTTTCCCCCCCTTCTATGAAGGGCTAGAGTAAGAGGAAATGACTGATAGATTAGAGGAGGGACCCTCCAGAAGAGGGGAAAAGCATGAAAATTCTCTCTACTGTTCCCAGACAAGGTAATGTTCATACAGGAATATGTGGGACAGCAAGAACGCTGTTGCCCTCACCATCTTGTGTTCCCTCCACCCCACTTTCACATGTTCAGGGGAAGGACAAGGGCTTGTAGCTTCTCCATGGCAGGAACTGAGTGCTTCACGGTGATGTTCTCTGCTGCTAGATCTTTTGCAGGAAACAGTTAAGAGCTGTACCGTCCCGCTAATTTTATGCTCTGTGTCCCTGTTTCTGAAACGCACTGTTTTGATGCTGCAGCGAGGTGATGCGCTGGCTGGTGTGGGTGTAGTTCGTGGCACTGAAGGTTTTATTACAGTCGGATGTGCGCTCATGCCAAGAAAGTGGAGAAGGTGGATACGAAGAAAGTGTCTCGGGTTGATGGTGCCACCACTGTGGTACTGAGAAGGGTCAGGTGTGGCAGAGTGCAGCGCAGCCTTCTCGGCTGGACGTGCCCTTAACTGGGAAGGCGGACATCGCTGGCTTGGGCAGCAAGTTCGGCAGAATTCGACTGCCGGTCCCGCGGCCTCCCAGCTCTGCGGGAATGACGATCTTTGCGCGTCCGAGCGTGTCGGGGAGCTGGAGCACCTTGACACGCGTCCCAGTGCGGCAGCCCGGTGCCGGCGAGGGGGCACGGCGGGGCTGAACCCCCGAGCGGGGCTGGGCACGGCAGGAGCCGCAGCCGGGAGCGGGGCACGCCCGGCCCGGCTGACCCCGCCGGAGAGAGGGGGACCCCGCCAGGCTGGGGGAAAGGGAGGACGGAGGGGACGGAAGTCGCTGCGCGGCGTGTCCCCCCCGGGGATGGGGATTGCGGGCTGCGGAGGGGCCAGCGAGAGAACTTCGAGACCACCGGCTGCGAGGGACAGCAGCGCAGAAAGCCCGACGGGGGCTGTGCCTTTTTTTGGGGTCCCGGCGCTCCCGCCGCGAGTGGGGCCGGTCCGGGGCTCCCCCGCCACCGGATACCCAGAACCCTCGCCCCGCACCGGCCGGGCTGCAGGAGGAGGAGGAGGAGGAGGAGGAGGAGGAGGAGGAGGCAGCGGAGGAGGGAGGGAGGAGACCGGGTGCTTTCACTCCTGCTGACTGCAGAGGCTGTGAGGCAAAAGACAGAAAAAGGAGGAGGGGAATAAAAAGTAAAGACGCGGGGAGAGAGAGTGAAAGAAAACTAAGCCCAGCTTTTGCCGGTGCTGCTTGGATTGGATCTGGTTTGAGTTTCCTCTCTGCTGGCTTGAGCAGCAAGAGAAGGAGGAGTGGGGGGAAGTAACTCGCTCACTCTTCCTCTGAAGCTTTACAAACGTGCTGGTGCCTGCGCTGGCCGGGAGCTGCCCGGCTGCAGTTTCCTCGCAGCTTATTGCTCTCAGTTTCTAGAGAACTGCCTGGACTTCTCGAGGACCTGGAGGAAAAAGATATCACAGACCTGACAGTTGCTCACTGCCTATAGACTTGACTTTTTTTGTTGTTGTTTTTTTTTGTTTGTTTGTTTGTTTTTTTGTTTGGTTTTTTTTCGTTTGTTTTTGGTTTTTTGGTTTTTTGGTTTTTTTTTCCTAGGGGATTCTTTTTTAAAAATATTTTTCGCCCGTGTTCTCAGAACAGCAGTTCCTTGAGTGGCTTTGAAATCCATTGCTTCCTTAATAACTTCGGGAGATATTTAAAAAAAACTTTTCCCCCCTCTCTTCTGTTTTCATTGCCAAAAAAAAAAAAGAAAAAAAAAAAGCATTGGGGGGGGGGGAAAAGAAAAAGGAGAAAAAGAAGCCTGTCCTTTTGGGGGAGGGGAGATGATCGTGCTGATGTGGAATAAGTGCTCCTGCTGTCTCCTCTTACTAGCCGCGGTCCTGATCGTGGAGAGCTCCCAGCTAGACAGCTCCAGCTCCAAGGTGAACTCCATCAAGTCCACCCTGATGGGGGAGGCTCCAACTCAGGCAACCAACAGATCTGCAGGCATCCACCAGGGACTGATGCTTGCTAGCAGTAAGAAGGGCAAAATGCTAGAGCAGATGGGAAAACCTCCCAAGCACTATCACCGGCAAGGAGAGGTAGGACATCACTTCATTGCTCGAGTCTGTCCATCTGTGTGCTGTGTGTAAATAATTGCTAGTCTTCCTACACACAATGTTTTCAGAGCTTTAATGTGCTAAATTAATTAATTTACTTAATTAGGCTTGCCTGGGACAATATAATCTCCTAACACGTGTTAAGAACTGTGCGAATGGGAGGTTTAAACCATTTATTTTTCTCTGTAGGGTTAATAACTGATGGAAGAAAAAGCAACCTAAAAAGCTATCATTCTCAGCATTTCTTTATTTGACTCCTTCAAAAGACTGCCAGAAGCAAATGACGAAATTTCTTGTAAATTCTCAAGATAGTAAATGAGTTGAATTTTAATAGGTTAGGAAAATTCAAACGTGAAGTAAAAATTCACAGCAGTGTAACTAATTTGGTTTTAGATTTCTGTTAAGGTGACTTCTGTTATCTTGGTCCTTGGTGAGAATAAAAAAGCATGCTATCCCTGTGGCATAGTTTAAGGTACAATCATTCATTTAATAAGACAGGAAACAAATTCTAGGTTCCTTGTCCAGAATATACTCCAGTGGTTGTGGAAGTTTTGTTTCGTTATGAGAGTTTGAATGTAAAGAAGATAGAAAAGGTTATAGAAAAAAAAAAAAAAAAAAAAAAGAAAAAAGAAGGTTAGGGGAGGGGCGGAAAAAGACCCTGATTTGCTTGTGCAGTCTTCTTTCCTCTCTACCTGCCTGAAAACGTGGAAGTCTGATAGAAAATAATCTTCATTAAGCTATCTTTGTGCTAAACCATAAAGCAGCATTTTAAGCCATCAGTCCTGTTCTTCCCTCTCAAGTCTTAACTTGGATGGTATGAATGTTGCATGTTGTGATGTTGAAAGAGGTAGACTTCTTCAGAATATACAGATTTTATTGGGTATTATTAGAATCTCTAAATACAGCCATAAGCAACAGTGTAGCAGCAAGAAAGCTGCCAACATTCAACACTAAAAAGACAAAATACCCAATGCCTGAAGGGTGTCTGTACTTGCTTAAATTTTCCTTATAGCAGCAGAGAGGCTGAAAATTCAAGTAATCCACTGAATTTGCTAGAGTGTTTCACATCAGCTTCCTAATAATTAAATGTTATAATTTGGTTTTGTGTGCAGGCATAGTAATGGTAGTGGTAGTTTTGTTTTTTCTGTGTGAGAAATTTGTTTTTGAACTCCTCCAAGCTTTCTTTCCCTAGCCACTCAACTGCTGTATAATTTACCCAGAATTTGGTTGCCTCTCCTTACCTCTAAGCAAAGTTTAGCAAGAGATGATGTGATAAAGTTTCATATTACTAAAGTACTGTGCTCTTTTCTAGTTCACATTTTACTAATTACTATTGCATTACTATGTTGAATCACCTTGAGGAGATAGAGGTGCCCAATGTACCTTCTTATTCATTCTCCTTGGATTTTCTTTTGTTTTCAAAGTATTTGCAAAATGTCGAAATGCAGGTCCTATTTTCCCACTGAGTGTTATCAGGCTCATGAGTTTTGTGAGTCTGTGCTGCCCAGCCTTTTCCTTTTTGGGAAGTCTTGCCACCTTCCCCTGTGTACAACATCCTCAGCGCTTCACTGTGTATTCAACACAATGTTGAGAATAATTGTTTATAATTCACCCAGTTCCTGAAAAACAATTTTTGCTGCCCACCGGTTGTATTTGCAAGAATTGCCCCTATCTTGCCAGCCTGAACTGCTGTTTCTGGGCACTTCTAGTTACTGGCATGAGCTCACAAGGTGCACTTCAAGTGAGAGACAGCACTGTAAGTATCTGTAGTGGTAGAAGAGATGTCATGCATGTTAAGATTTCATGTTTGTAGTGTAAGCAACGGCCTCCAGATAATTGGTGGCTATGATTCCCAGGGAGTGATGCCTGACCTCCCATCAAGGGCTGTCAGTGCTGAATTTACCATCTCTCTGTCCCCAGATCCTGCATGGCCTCACGCAGATGTATGTGAAAATGACACATTTGAAATGACAGTTTTGCTCCAATAATTCTTGATGCTACGTTTAGCCATCTGCCTGAAGCAACACTGTTAATGCAGAATTGCAATAAAAAGATGAAAATAAGGGAAAAGACAAGGAAAAGAAAATGAAAGAGAGGAAAAAAAAAAGAGAGGAGAGAAAAGAAAAAAAGAAAAGAAAAAAGAGAAGAAAAGAAAAAAGAAAAAGGAGTATCTTTTGTGAAAATGTTTTCTCTTTGGTGATATCTCCAGCTGTAGGGCTAGTAAGCTGCTACGTTTTTTAACCGTGGTGTCATGCATATCAACCAATTTAAGACATGGCATTTTCATAATCTTTTTTAAAGTACTCTCTTATTAGGTTAGTGCTTAATTTGTTTTGATTATGGGTCTTTGCACTGAAGTTTGCCATGCCACTTGCAAAAGAGCAGGCCTATGCTTTTCTTTCTAAAACAATCTGTTGAATTAGTGGAATTTGTAATGTCTTAAAAGTAAGAGCATCTTTTATATCTTGGCAACATTAGATGGTGAGTTGAGTGCCTTGTTTACAACTGGAAATCGTTTTAGTAAGGACTAAGGATATGCAAGTTAAAGAAAAAATAATATAATTTTGCTGTTGTGAGGGCTCTGAGCTGTGCTTTCAGCTCTGCACATACACGTGGTGGAAATCACCAAAACCGATGAAAGGACCATCAGCCTACAACCTATTTGCTTTTCAGTTATGTTAATTCTCAGGACTAGGAGCAACTTGGGAGTGTTTAATCAACAATAAATCAACTGATACAATAGTTCATGGCTTATCTGGAGTGTTGATGTTTTTCAGCTGGTAGTTACAGTGCTTCTGCCCAGAAAGGGAAGATCCAGCACTCTTTTTTCAGGCAAAGTTCCAGTTTAAATTAATGAAAATACTCACATGAGCAAAGCAAGCTGATCCAGCTTGCAGAGAGACTGGCGGGGCAAATGTGGATTTTAGTAAGACTTAACAGTTTTACGTCTTTCTGAGGAATATTATTTATTTTCTGTTCTTATTCCCTTTACTGCCTTGGATCAGCAGAGAATGAGAAGCACTGATGTGCTAAATCGGTGAGATTTCATTCTTTTCACTGTTTTTTACTGTCACTGCTGCTTTTCCTTTTCTGCAAACTGTTAATGTTTCCCCAATTTCACAGAGAATCAGGAAGTATCTACAGCATTTGCACAAGGGAAAAATATGCTCAAAATTTGTACTGTACAGTGTATGCTAATCTAGGTTACTCTTGGGTGGGGGGGGGGAGTCAGGATTATATACTGTCAGCTTTTTATTTCCTTTCAAAACTTGATTTAGAGAAACTCTTCTAGGGACATCCAACACCTCAGTTCTGTGACCTGTCTGTTAAAGTATTCTGAATATATTCCCTCTCTAGGTAAATATGATACAGTGAACAGGGAAATGTTCAGTAACTGACAGTGAAATAGATTAATTTTTCTGTGTCAGCTATAGCTTCCATTGTGTTTGGGCAAGGTCTCCCACATGAGTGCTCTAGCTCAATATAGAGAATGCAACCTGAAAGGAAAAATAGAACATATTGTACAGTGCTTGAAAAGTATAGCCATTCCACAGATGCCTGGTTGATGATTTTGTAGCCTCTTTAATTCACTTCACCATCTTTTAGACTTCTTGCTCTGGGTTTTATTCCCCTCTCTCCTCTGAGATGTGTCAATGCTGGGGTTTGCACACCTTCACACTCAACCACGTTTAATTGTCTGGTAGACTGTGACCTACCAGGCTTTATTTCCAGCTGTTTTCCTTCTTTAATCTATGGGTGCTATTATCTTCACCCCTTCCCACCTCCTGGCCACAAGCTGTTGTTCCAGCTAATTCCGCATCAAGATGTGTCTCTCATTCCCTTTGTCCCTTTGCTGCTGCATAGCTGTTTGGGTTTGTGCTTCCCATTGAGACTGTCCCTTCCCCATCAATATGATGGGAGCAGTAGCAATGAAGGGAAGAACTGGGACATCCAGTAGAGGGAACTGGCGTATTTGTGGGGCTGACTAAGAGATAATGAGGTCTGGAAAAGGGAGAGAGAAGTGAAAAGCTGGGACAAGTTATATCGATGCACCACAGACAGCTATCAGATAAGCCTTAGTATTCCAAATGCACTTGGTTTAATGTTAAAGATGTGTTTATTTTTTTTGTAAATTCTATTTTAGCTTGAGCTAAGAGGTTCGGGACCACAGAAGCCAAACCAAAGAGGCATTTATTCAAATGACTAATTTGATACTGATCTCATACCTAATAACGCACGGACATACATGTGTTTCTTGGACAGGACATAGTTACCCACAAGAACTTGCTAGAAAATGTTTGGATGATGCTTTGTAGCAAGTAAAACAGCATGAGATGTAGTAATTGAATGCAGTGCCCTGACAATATTACAATAAAATGTACTAAAGACACCAAAAATGTAACCACAATATCTTAAATAGCTAGCAACCAAGACAGTAAAAATTATTTCTTCATGGGATTAAAAATAAATTAATTAAAATAACTAGAAATTACATCCAGCAATAGCTGCCTTTTTTTCTTTTTTTTTTTTTAATTTGAAAAAATACAGAATTGCTAAATTTGCAGAGGCCACCAGAGAATTAATTCTTTGCTCTTGCTGCTTGGTGTTAGAAATCTGGGTGACATACAGGTTTACTGGCAGCTGTCTTGCTAAATAACCTACTGGCTTCACTCTTAATTGCAAAAAATGGGGTGCAGAGTGTTATCTCCTTCCTGGATCATGCTTGGTGTCCCCTTCAAATTGCTATTATTAAGTGATGTCATAATATAGAGCAAAAGCTCCTATAAAGTGGCTTTACTACAAGTATTTCCTATTAGCTTTGCAACAATGCCTAGAAAGTTTCTAGAACTCTGGTGTGCTGCTGTGTGTGCAAGTACTTAGGGAGAGTCAGTTTCTGTATGGAAAGTCTGTCAGAACTTAATGACAACACAGAAGATGATGAAGCATGATTACATTTTCCCCTCAGAAAAGTGAGTCTGATT